CAGACAATGAACGTTTCGAAAAAAACAAACATTTTTTGGGCATCAGTGAATCCCAAAACGTGGCTTTCTGTTAAAATCTTGAAATGGATTTTCCGCAGCCTGCGTATGCAATGTACATTACTTTTCTTTATGCGATGTGTATTACCCCGTATACATAGGTATACAGGAATGTAAAAAGGAAAAAATATACTAATACATTATACACCACGGATCATGTTATTGTTACGCTGTGTCACGCATTGCCACATGCTGCAAAATGTAATGAATTTGGCCGAAAAAGTCATTTACTTATCTATTTGCTTTACGTGAAAAATAATGATAACTATTCCAAACTGTCAAAAGGGAGAAGTGCTTCTGCAAATTAGGCTACTTAGAACAGAATTACCTGCGAATGACTGTAAAAAAATATCATTGAAATAATTTTGTTAAAAGCAAACTGAATTCATTATAATGGCGAAAATGTGTAGTGTACTAAAGGGAAATCGACTAAATGAAAATACAAGAAATTTCGGCAGGACAATGCAAGTGAAAACTTTTCTAATGACGAGTGGGCCAAAACTAGCAGTCGTTCGTTGGCTCTTCTGTAAATATCATTGACCTCAGACGAGATCACTTCAACAAGCAACTTCGTACGGTAGAATTACTAAGTGGACTTTTAGGACATCCATCAGCATGTCGTGGTCCTATGTCTATTAACGTGTTGGCAGAAATTGCGAGTTACGTTAACGTCACACGTAGTTGAGAAAAGATGGCAAACATATTACTCCATGAAATTGTAAACATCGATTATTCCCTGCCCTCGACATCGTTTAGCAAATGAAATAAAACTGACCAAAAGAAATAACAACTCTGCAGCAGAAGCAGTTTGTGGTTGTGAATTTGGTGAATAGCTAGTGGGGAAATATAAATATAAAATCGCTTTTCTTAATAATTAAAGTAGTTTATTTATAATGCACCAAATAGACCATTCGCTCCTCCGACGCTACGGACTTGCCTGTGATGCCTTCATTCGTCCATTTCCTTATTAATTGCCTTATTATAGGTTTATTAACTGTGTATAGCCCTTCTCTCTGCATCTCTCTCTCTCTCTCTCTGCCTTTCTCTCTCTCTCTCTGCCTTTCTCTCTCTCTCTCTGCCTTTCTCTCTCTCTCTCTGCCTTTCTCTCTCTCTGCCTTTCTCTCTCTCCCTTTCTCTCTCTCTGCCTTTCTCTCTCTCCGCCTTTCTCTCTCTCTGCCTTTCTCTCTCTCTCTGCCTTTCTCTCTCTCTCTGCCTTTTTTCTCTCTCTGCCTCTCTTTCTGCCTCTCTCTCTCTACCTTTCTCTCTCTCCTCCTTTCCCTCACTCTCCACCTTTCTCTCTCTCTACCTTTCTCTCTCTGAATGCGTACCTAACTCACGTCTGTCTTGCTGACATCGCTGGCTGAATCCTGTAAAATTGCTGGTTGAATATTTTCTCTTGCCTGCCTTGTTAATTGAATCGCTGGTTGACCGTTGAACCTTCTTGTATTCCTTGTTGATTGTACCACTGTCTGAAAGCCGTGATCGTGCCTACCTTGTTTGATTTGTTGAGTGGCAGCTGTTTCCCCTATCTGCCTTGTTATTGAATCGCGGGCTGACTCTGTTCCTCCTGTCTGCCTTGACTGAATCGTTGCCTAAATGCTGTTTTCCTGCCTGCCTTGATTGAATCACTGACTGAATGTTGTTCCTCCTACCTGCCTTGTTGATTATATCACTAACTGACTGCTGTTCCTCTTGTCTGCCGTGTTGACTGAATCACTGTCTGAATGATGTTCCTTCTATCTATCTTGTTGATTGAATCTCTGTTTGATTGTTGGCTGACTTCTGTTTCTCCTCTCTTCCTTGTTGATTAAATCACTGGCTGACTTCTGTTTCTTCTCTCTTCCTTGTTGATTGAATCGCTGACTGCTATTCCTCCTTCCTGCCTTGTTGATTTATTCGCTGGTTGACCGCTGTTCCTCTAGTATCTTTTGTTGATTAAATCGATGACTGCTGATCCTCCTGCCTGCCTTGTTGACTGAATTGCTGACTGACCGCTGTTCCTCCTGCCTGCCGTGTTGACTGAATCGCTGACTGACCGCTGTTCCTCCTGTCGCAGGGAAGCGTCTGTGCGCGGGCGAGACGTTCGCGCGCCACTACCTGTTCCTGTTCTTCGCGGGGCTGATGCAGAACTTCCGCTTCCGGATGCCCGACGGGCAGAAGCCGCCGCCCATGGACGGCCACCGCCCGGGCATCATCGAGTCCATCCCGCCCTTCTGGGTGGAGGTGCAGCCGCGCGACTAATGAAGCATCTCTTCAACGACGCCGTTCCATTTGCCGCCTCGATACGCGTAATTAGAGAACCTCAAATCACTCAATTATCCGTACTTTTATCATATGTGTGTTTTTCCAAAAGACATCGACGTTTGGTTCGATTCTGGTATTAGAAAAAATGTAATGCCAACAGCAATATAGGGTCTAAAAAAATATATTACGAAATTAAGAAGTTAATGGAACAATAACAATGAAATCGATCTTTTGGTGGTCGAAAAGTCTTATTGCTTGTTAAGAAAATCAATTGCAGTTTAAAGTACTCGTTTGAGAAAGAACCAGAACTCGTGGGTAGATAATTCTCGATGAATTGTAACCAATGCATTCGATTTGAAAAAAGGACTATATGGATTGAGTATTGGTCAAGAAGTATCGGTACCTAACTCCCTAATATCGAATGACATGTCGTAAAGTGTTTGAATAGGACTATTACCCTGTGTAGTCCATGCCCCCTCCCATTTCATTCGAATCTACATCTCGTTCATACTGGTTTCTTACATCGCAGACCATTAGTAACCCATTTGTGGACAACTGGCACTACGTTAATTTACATATGCACGTGTAACTCTCTAATTTTTTTGTTATTCATTGTAATTGCACATTTGTCGACAGCAGAGCTGCAACTTCGACACTTCAAAACAAGATACTGGTCAAGATACAGTACATGTCAGTCTAGACGGGGAAAACGTTTTTATCCTAAGCTTGACTTGAAGGTGCTAAGGAGCTAATACTTGAAGGTCTAGTTTCATTGTAATAACTAATAATTTACGTAATAATACGTAATAACGTGAAATTAACTTTCTTTACAAGATCTTAATTTTCAAGACAAACATGAGTAATTGACCGATTTCATACATTCGAATATGCAATATGACAAGTCGCTTTGCTAGGCCCGCTTGCTGAACATGTGATCTGAACTAAGAAAACTACTGGACTACGTTGGAATACTGGAAAACTACTGGAATAATGTGATTCAACTTTCTGTGAAAGTTTTGTAAGATAGCGAAGAGACAGATATCTAGAGATATGGATATCAGAGAGGAGTCAATATCAATTACATTTACATAAAGAATATAGTTATCAAAAATCTTTTAAAATGTTATTTACATTGTTTTAAATAAAATATATTTTCACATTAATAGTTATTTATAAATCTAAAATTGTCCTGCAATTTTTAGATCTTCAACTTTTATTTCTACTAATATAGCATCTTGTCTTCAATTTTAGTTTTCAGATATCTTGGGATTTGAAATTGAAAATAAATTTCTATAAATAATGGTATAACATTTTCCTGACTAATACAAATCAAGTAATCGAAATTCTCTTTTGTATTTCTTATACAATACTACGATATCACAAAAACACTCGCAGTGACATAGACTATATCTTTATGGGGAAATAATAAACACCTTACTGATACGGAATTGTTAGAGGAACGTAAACATTGTATATTAGAAAAATCAACATTGGTTTCCTATTTGTATCAAACAGATAAACAAAAAAACATTGTTGCAACAGACAGTGGTAAAGCAGGTAACGAGTGTATTTGACATTACAATTACCACAGGAAGGGGAGTAAACTCCTCATCTCAGGAACTTAGAAATTTGGTCTTTTTTGTAAGAAGGTATGTGTTTAATGTTTTGGGTGTGCAGACTGTAAAGTGTATGTTAAATTGTTTATGTTTTTGAGCACTTTTCGGAGAAACGTTTCTAAATGCTCTCGTGGCTCAGTTACGAAGTCGCTTGCCTCCCTCCACAGATGTTCCGGGTACGATTCCCATAGAATCCCCGTAGGGGAGACGCGTGGCCGTCCTCGTGACAACTGACTGCGACGAGACGTGATGGATATGATACACTGAAATATTAATGCAGGATTACTCCGGCGCTGATATTAATGAAGAATTACTCCGGAAGCGCAATTGAAGACCTAACAATAGTCAACGTAGTCAGTTCAAGACACAACAAATTTAAAAAAATGAAAGATATGCCATCGATGGTGAGTGTGTGTGTGTGTGTGTGAGAGAGAGAGAGAGAGAGAGAGAGATTGAGAGAGAGATTGAGAGAGAGATTGAGATTGAGAGAGATTGAGATTGAGAGAGTGTTTGAGATTGAGAGAGAGTTTGAGATTGAGAGAGAGTTTGAGATTGAGAGAGAGTTTGAGATTGAGAGAGAGATTGCCGACAGCCGTTAAAGCGCGAGCGAGGCATATGAGAATGCTCTCACTACGCATGCAGGGTAGAGGTTTACAAATAATCTATTTTCGTTGTCTCGTAGAAATCATCGGGAAGTTAAGGGATTGTCATTCATAAATGTTGTTTAGGCTGCGTTCATAAGTTGTGCGGCATGACGAAACGCTAGGAAGCTTGAAGAAAGCAAGGATGTTCTTGAGGCGACATTAAGTGTAGCCATCTCCCCCCTCGGCGACATTGGCCGACCTTTGACGCGGACTCCTCGCAAGAAGTCTACGTGTGTGTGTGTGTATGTGCAATTTTTTCCATTCCTATTTTGCACCTCTTCATTGTTTGTCCTTCCACTTTTGAGTCACCAGAATTCCCCACTCTAGCATTTAGATTGCCTAATAAAATATGTTGCCTTTATCCCACATTCTCTGACTTCTGTAATCGAGGTAAAAATTAAGAAAGAATAAAAATTAGAAGAACTACAATTCCTAGACCATGAAACATCACAGCAATGGAGCCGAAAACTCAAGAACTAAGTCCGATCTAATAGAAAAAGAAGAAGGAAGTGTTTCACAAGTAAGTGAAAGACATATCATTCTCAAAGATGAATTATATTTTTATAACATAATATGCTTACATAAGTGTTGAAAACTATAGATCTTAAATAACAGTATATAACTTGGTGTTCTGTATTAACTAAAATATCAAAATTATTGCACTTTGATTTTAAGTTTCTTCTAAACTTGAGTGAAAACTGTTTTTTGTTACTTGAGACCACTTTACATCCACATCTTTCTTGAACACATCAGACAATCTCTCATGTTGCCATCCTTGTTTGCGCCAGTCGTATCTCGGACCCCAAAACGTAGCACGATATGGCCATCTAGTAGGATCTTGACGGGCAACATGGCCCCACAAGCGCCATTTGAGTTCATGGACACTATCTCCGATGTCTTGCTTTTTTTCTTTCTGATTTCCTCGCATCTAGTTTTATCTCTTAGTGTTATATGAAGAATTTTTCTCTCCATATGACTCTGGCATCTTATTAGCATGGACTGCTGTGCCTTTGTTAGAGGCTACATTTGAGAGCCATATGTTAATTCTGGTGTGATGCAGGAATCTATAATGGATTTTTTTATTGACGTGGTAACTTTTCTATCGAATAGTATAAATGAGAGACTCCAGAACTTATTCCATCCTAAGGATATTCTTTTTATTTTTTTTCCTTTTCTTCTCTCAAAATATATTGTCTCAAATACTATAGATTACTTGAACGTATTCAATTTTTTGATTAGCTACAAGTACAGGCATTTGTTTGTCGTTCGTCATAATTTTTAGTTTGATAGATTGATTTCAAGGCCAACTTTAGAACATTTGACACTCAGCTCTCTTAACATCTCACTTATCGGATGAGCAATGTAGCAAATACAACCACATCGTCTGCAAATCGCAAATTTCTCAACATCTGTCCGTCAATTTTTATTCCCGCTTTTTTAGACCTGTTAGCTGTCTGAATAGATCTTCTAGTAGGTAAGTGGCTAGTTTTGGTGAACAAGGATCTCCTTGCATGACACCACGTCTTATCTCAAATGCCTTCTCTTCTTGGACAGTTCTTACTTTTGCAGTACTGTTGGAATATATTCTCTGCAAAATTCTAATGTTCTTTGCACACCTTTCAGATCAAGTGAACTGAATAGCACTGAATGTTCAACACAATGAAATGCTTTTCTAAAATCAACAAAGGCTGTATAGAGTTTTAAACTGAATTCTTGTATTTTTCGATGATCTGGTTTAGTGTCTAAAAGTGCTCTATTGTACTAAAACCGGATCCAACCTGTTCCTTTGGTTGTTGTCCGTCAAGATCCTGGTTATTATTTTCGAAAATAATTTATATACATTGGACATTAGACTGATCGGTCGATAATTATTTGAGTCATTTTATGCCCTTTTTATGTAAGTGGGAGACGTGCGTTGTGATTATTGCTTCGGAGTCGCTTCTGCCTGCAGTATTTTATTAAATAAATTTGTTAATTTTATTATCTCTTCATTTGGACAGTGTATAAGGAATTTGTTTCATATTCCATCGCCTCCTGGTGAGCGTTTTGTTTTTAACTCTGAGATAGAGTATTTTACTTCACTTTGAAGAACAGGTAGTACTCCAGCCGGATCTTTATTGCTATTATTTCTTTCAGTATAAACAGTTTGAGGTTGATCTTGTTTGCTGTCATAGAGATCTGTGAGATATTGTGTGGCTAAGTCAGAGATTTCTCGTCTTTCCGTGATTTGTTGTATTGGTTTCCGTGTATTGTTGTTAATGGTGTTTGTGTTTTTGACTCGTAGTAATAAGTGCTTCTCTTCGATAAGTTCTTTTTTAGTTTTCCTTACCGACTTCGAGTCTTGAATAATTGTAATGTCTGTGTTTTGTATTCCCTTACATTGTTCCTTATAGATCGCTTCACCAATCTAGATTTTTATAATCTGCAGAGAATCTTGCCCGTGGATTCTAGTTTTCATTTTGTCACGATCATTTCGTAATTTCATGATAGAGTTGCTTAATTTGTCCCTTTTTTATATACTTTCTTGATATAGCTACCTCTTTCCCTGAGGTTGTTAAGGACAGCTCAAAATAATCGTATTCATTTTGCATTGTATTTGTGTCAGGAATTTGAGAATCTAAAGCTTTTAATTCGGTACATATTAATTTCAATTCTGTATATATTATTATGCATTAATAAATCCGTATACACTTGTTTCCTTTCCGAGCAGCAAGTTTTGTACTTGTGATGGCAAAATGCCTATTAACCGAGAAACATGCTAGCGAAGGTCTACTGTATTAGTAAATTTTCTTTCTTTCTTGAGTTTTCTGTTTTTCGTTTGTAAATGGGAATGTTTGTTGCGCGAATCATAGAGTTCCTAAGATCACTTCGCGGAGCCCCCAGAGTTCCACGTAGTTCAGTTGGGAACGGCTGCTTTCTAGCACAAATTCAAGCTACTAATATGTTTTTTCGTGTTCGTCGAGGTCCAAGTCCGTGTTGCCCTTGCAGTCACGGGACTGTCTTTAAACAATTGCGGTCTTGAAGCCAACTTGTCAGCACTTTGTCAGCAGGTGCCACGGTATTGGGAACGATATATGCGTTTAAACAAAACTTTTTTAATGCGGCTAATAGAAAATACGTATTTTAATTAGGAGAATTCAAAATAATATTAATATCGTTTTTTATAAATAAAACCAAAGGAATGAAAATGTATCATTTACAAAAAATGTTGACATATTTTTCTTAAACATCTGGAATTAGATGACATTTACCTGCTTGGAAAATAACTTACTAAATTTGGCAGTTTTTCTGTGCAAAATCATCAAAAAATACTGTTCTAAACATTAATTGGAACCACAAAATGAAACTAACGTTATGATCTGACTTTTTCCAACCGTGATATCTGGGCAGTTTCACAGAACACACTGGTCAATATACTGATTATTTCACTTCTCCAATGTTACTTATTCCCTCTGTTGTCTATCTGCTCGCGTTTCTGTCCATCTGACTCGCCGACTGTCTATGGTCAACGCTAGTGCCTAAACCGTTCGACGACTTTTTTAAAGATCTATCGCAACGAACTGAGGGCCCTGAGAGTTATATTTTTAGCATTACTTTACATGAAGCCTCAATATTTTAAACATTTTCTTAAAAATGGCTCCAAATTTGGTATTAAACCTTGTCAGATAGCACAAAAGGGCATTTAAAATAGTGGGGATTACAGATAAAGATTTTTTCTAAATAAAATGTATTATTCAAAGATATCTAGAAATAATGTCGTGTTCAGTTTTTCGAATATGTGAATAATTTTCTCGGAATTTTGCATCAAATGTAAGCACTTTTCAAACAATTTTCAACTTCAAAGGATGGAATATAAAAATCTGGTGCTGGTCATTTTGGAGCTGATGAATTTTCAACGAATATTTCTGAAAATAACAAAACATTGACAATACAAAAGTACGATATTGATAATAGAGATCTTTTTGTTAAATTAAATTTGTTGTAGTTCTTTAAAAAGAGATAGTGAATTTTTTTTAAATATTCGTAGTTTTGCGTAATTGTGCATTTTCGATTTTCAAATTCGAATTTCTCGCACTTATTTTGCTAGAGTCTTTGAGGAGTAACGTCGCAATTCACAAAGGTAACGCCGCGACACGATTATTAGAAAAGTTTGAGAATACTTCTGATTGTTGACCGATGTTCTGGGTATGTGTAACGGAGTTCTAGATTGTCGAATTTATTTTGACGTAATAGCGTTCAATGAATTTATTTTTCGCACCTAAAGCTCTTCATTCGGTTAGTTTCTGCGATTAGTAATGAATAGGGCCCGGATAAATATGTAATATCATATTTTCGTAACGTAACTTTGTCAATTCGAATCAACGATATCTTCACGTTTCATGTCAGTGTCATAAAACGTTGGCGTTTTAGTACAGATTTTTACATATTATTGAATTTTTACACTTTTCTGTATTTCTTTAATTTAATTCTTTATTTTAATGTGTTTGAATGTTTTGAATAAGTAATTTTACAGAGAAACAATTCAGCTTTGTGAAACATTTTTCTCTAGCCTCCCCTCTAAAATGCCGTTATTGCATCGTGTGATATCATTTCAATGCGTCAGCCCATAGATACCGACGGTATTGCAAATAATAGGGCAAGGCGACGACGCAATCTGGCAAATTTAAATGGCAAAATTCACACACCTGGATTGATTCTATGTGCTACAATGCTCGAAATTTTCATTTTTTACATACTAGTTATGCATTAATTTGATTCTGATGTTGTAGCGGCTATAAGCATATCAAAGCATTTGCTTGATGCTGAAAAGCTGAAATATTATGTTGTCCCCTTTTTCAGTAAGCCCCGTAATTAAATCTTTGGAGAAGCCTTCCTTGAAACTTTCTCACAGCCTTGAAATTACTCAATCAGTATTCGCTTCTGTGAGAACTGTTCATATATTATTTCAAGGACACTAGGGGAACTAGTGAAAAAAATGAGGTCTTCAGTTCCTGAGAATATCTCGTATTGGAAACCATTTGTGCTCTTAGTGCAATGTAAAGAGGGTACAATTCCGTCACACGATATTGACTACACGTCAGAGGATCTGTGCAAGTTTAAATACGCACTAGTGACTCGTGCGATGTACCACGCTCTTTTAGTGTGTACAAGGCCTCTTACAAGGTAATAGGAAAAAGTTTATTATTAAGCATTAAAATTTTATTGCTGAAAATCTTAAACAAATATTTGTTTCTTATTGTAACGGAAATCGTTGTAAATATGAAGATTACGATAAAGATAAAAGTATTTTAATAAAGGGAATTGATACAATGGTGATTAATGATACACATTTCTTAGTTTTAATACTACATATTTCTGTATATTATAATACACATTATATATATATATATATATATATATATATATATATATATATTCCCAATTTTAGTACATAATTATCCTAGCTCTAGTAATGAGTTTTACAAGTGATTACAAATGTGTTTATGAACAGAAATTGCGGTATTACAATTGTACGTAACC